AAGATATCGAAGGTATTGAAATCGATTGAATGCATTGACTGTATATAATATCATCCAATATTACTAATTTTAATACATACATTTGGCTAATTATAGTAAAAAATTACAATACTAAAAATAGTTTGAGAAATTTCCAATACGATAGACTTGAAATTTTTTGAAAGATTGATGCAATAAATTAAAAAAAATTAGTTTAAAATGTCAAAAATGCTACCAATAATCACTTAGAAGAGAGGTGTCTCCCTTTTTTTTTTTAAAGAACAAAATAGATGTAAGATTCAAATTTCTAACATCAATTAGAAAGACATATGCGTCCAATATCATACTTTATGTATGTTCACTGATTATTTTTCAATATAACACTACTATATATATAATCTCGAAAGAGGAGCATAGATTGACGTGAACTCAGGAAATCCCCCTGATACGTCCGTGATAACAACCATCCAACATGTTGTACTGAAATAGTAATAATTTTAAAAAAATTATTGCTTTAAATAGCCTAACCAGTCCATTGTAGTATTCCCAAGAACCAACAAAAACACTAATTAATTAAGCTTTTCTTCACCATGGAGAAACAAACAAATGGAAAAGCAAGAACAAATGATGAAGAAAAAATTCAAGAATCTCATGAAGCACAAGCAAATATGTGGAAATTTGTGTTTGGTTTCACAGAAATGGCTGTGATTAAATGTGCCATTGAATTAGGAATTGCTGAATTTTTGGAAAAAAATCAAGAACCTATTAGCCTAAATCAACTTTCTATTGCACTTGGTTGTTGTTCCTCTTCCCTCTATCGTATCCTAAGGTATGATTAATTAGTTTGTAATTTGTTATTCTCTCTGTTTCAATTTACGTGACAGTGTTTAGCTATATATACAAGAAATTTGATTTTTTAAAATATTTGTGTGACTATAATTGAGCATCTCATTATATTAAGGGACTAGTCCACGAAGGGTTGTAATGAAGAGGTTAGTACGTATTCATATTCATGCATCGTTAAACTAGAGATCTTATGCTCGATTCCTGAGTATGAAGTTCTCTTAGGTAGAAAATGTCTTATCCTACTAATTAACATCGGGAGGAAAACATTTTTGAACTAATGAAAAGCTTAAAGTTAAGTCATTTTAAAATAAGGATATGAAGAATTATTTTTAGTTAAGACAGACTAAAAAAAAGTATCAACACTCAAACCTCTTTATAATATCATCATTTGTTTGAATTTTTTTTTAACAGTGAAATGATGCTATAGAAATTAAATGGTATAGCATAAGATGAAACATCGGTTCTAAGGAAAACTTGATAGTTATTGTGAAATATTGTTATAAAAAGATATAATTGTAGATATTTGTTATAAAAATAATAATGTAATAATATGTACATATTTTATAGGTTCTTGATCAACCGTGGAATATTCAAGGAGACATCAACCAAAAGCGGCAAAAGTGGGTATGTTCAAACGCCTCTTTCCCGCCTTCTCATTAAAGAAGGCGAGAATAGCATGACTGCTTTCCTACTATTTGAAAGCAGCCCTCTGATGTTGGCACCGTGGCACAATCTTAGTGCACGTATTTCATCAAAGGACAATAGTATGCCCGCCTTTGAAGCAGCTCATGGAAAGGATGTCTGGAAGTACGCGGAAGCTGACCCTAAACACAGTAACCTCTTGAACAACGCAATGGCGTGTGACGCTAGGGTAGCAGTATATGCGATTATCAACGGTTGCCCGGAGATATTCGAGGGGGTGAACACAATGGTTGATGTTGGTGGTGGTGATGGAACAACACTAAGATTATTGGTGGAAGCTTTTCCTTGGATTAATGGGATTATTTTTTATCTCCCTCATGTTGCTTCTGTTGCACCTCATGCTATTGGTGTTGTACATGTTGGAGGTGACATGTTTAATTATGTTCCCAAAGCTGATGCTGCCTTCCTCATGGTAAGCACTACTTCCGTCTCATATTAGATGAACATTTTATTAAAAATATTTGTTTCATATTATATGATTTTTTACTAATTATTAGATGAACATTTTTATTTTATCCCTACAATTAATATGACCTTTGGAAGTTTAAACAAATTTTGAAGATCCAGATTTTTTTTTTTCAAGAGGCTAATTAATATAAACAAATAATACAATAGTAATGTTGATCAATCTATTAATAATTTTTTAATTACAATTTAAAATAGAAAGTTAATTCCCATCTAATATGGGACGGAGGAAATAGATATTAATAGTAGTCATTTTAATGGATTGAATTTGTTTTAATTAAAATATTTGACATTTTAATTATGATGGGAATTAATTTCTTAAATAGTTATTCATGTTATGAAAATGACTTAAAAAGTCTTTTTTTTTTAAATTTGTTTTGTGCTAAGAAAAGTCATTTGTAATTTGTCCATTTTCTCACAAAATAATTTCTACAGGAAAAGTACTAGAAAATAATATGGAATGATCCCTTATGTTTGAGAGTAGGTCTAAAGTTGTTCGTTGATATATTTTATATTATCTCTCTTTACAAGTTTCTAATGGACATCCCTTAAAAAAATAGTTCATCGTTAAGGGATTTTCAATAAAGCATGTCGGAAACATTATTGACGAGCCAATTTCAAACAAATTTCATAAAAAAAAGATATTTTTATTTAAAAAAATAGTGTTTAAGGGATTCCCAATGAATTGTCTGTTAAAAACATTTTCAAAAATTCGCTTTAGTTAAATAGTATTTTTGCATAACTTCATGTATATATGTTGAAGTGATTGTATTGGTGGGAAATTATCTCTATTTCTATTAACCTTACACAATTTCTGATGAAAATCTTAAAAGAGATTTTTGATTGAAACAACAAACAACAAACAACAACAATAATAACAAACCCTCTCCAATCCCATAGCTAGAGTCTAGGGAGGGTAAAGTGTACACATACTTTACTCATATCTCGTGGAGGTAAATAGACCATTTCCAAAAGACTCTTGACTCGGATTTTTAATTAAAGTCTATCGTAATTGTTTCTAACATGCTAATTTTTGAGGGAGTTTGTCAGAAAATCTACTTATTTTTAATTTATTTTTCTAGGAAGTATTTCTTATATTCAATTTTGATGCTAACTTTCATAAACTCATGTATATTGTTGTATATATTATGTATATTAGTGGTTTTTACATGATTGGAGTGATGAAGAATGCATACAAATATTAACAAAGTGTAGAGAAGCAATTCCACAAGACAATGGGAAAGTGATAATATTGGAAGCAATAATTGGTGGAAAAGAAGAAAGTATTATAAGAGGATCAAATAATGAGAAGCTCAAAGATGTTGGTTTAATGTTGGATATGGTGATGATGGCTCACACAACCAATGGGAAAGAGAGAACTTCTAAAGAATGGGCTTATGTTTTGAATGAAGCTGGATTTGGTAGACACACTATTAGTCATATTAATGATGTTCAATCTGTTATTCAAGCTTATCCTTCTTGATTTTTACTGTGTTCGGAGACGGATTCAGAATGTAAACTCTATTGGTTTATCTTTAAGGTTCTTAGTAAGCATTGAACACGCATGTTGTTTTTTTTAATATTATGAATTCTAATCTACTATTTGCTGCAACAACATATCTAGTGTACTGATCTCATAAGCATTGGACACGCATGTTGTATTTTTATTTTATGAATTAATCTATACAATTTCTAGCATGAAATTTGTTGTATTTTTCAACTTATGAATTCAAGCATATTATTATTATACTAGATATTTGGTGCACGTGCTAGCACGTGCCCAATATATGTTACTATTTTTTCCCTCAATTTATGTGATATAAAGGAATTTTGAAGAATCAATCAAAAACAATTATATGTTTTTAAAAAAATATATTTGAAGTTATTAATTTGTTGTGATTTATAGTATTTTTTTGTTTAATTTTTTAAATAAGATATGTTACTTCTGTTCCAATTCACGTGAATAATCATAAATATTTTTAGTTGTTAATTTACTGCGAATTCTAGAACTTTTGACGTTATTTTCAAATAATATATGCTACTTCTTCTATTTCAATTAGTCAACCAAATTTCTTATAATATTTTCAATTGTTAATTATTGTGATTTATAACATTTTTTTATGTAATTTTAATAATAATATATATTATTTCATTTGTTCCAATTCATATAACAATGATAAAATTTTAAGAGTCAACTAAATATTTATTTTTTTTAAAAAAAGAAGGTTGTACCTCTAATATATTTTATAGTTAAAATATAATAAATATAGTAGTTAAATTTCAAGAAGTATAACATGTTGAACAAAAGAATTAGATACAAAACATAGACAAATTTTATGGCGGAAGAGGCACAAATATGACTTGATATGTGAGGCATTATTTTTAAATTAAAAAAATATGTACGTCCCACCTTTCCTATTCAATATTGTTGTTTCCCTCTCCTGTCTTACTTAATTTATGAATAAAAAAATATGTGGGTCCTATTCGTTTTATTTTACATTGTAATTCCTTTTCCTATACATTTTACTCCACATTCGTACACTTGTCCATTTCTTTTCTTTTCCCCTTTTTTTTTTATAAAAAAATCTTTTATTCTTCTTTCCTCTAATATTTCAGATCAATTTTAAGTTATGAATTTTATTTATTCAATTTTTTTAATATAATTCGTATATTTTTTTTTTTCATATTTGATAGTTAACAAATATATTATTTTAAATTTTTTAAATTACATAAAAATATGAGAATAAAAAATGGTGGAGAATGGCCTAGCCCATATTGACGGCTCTAATCGCATGAACTCTAAATCAAGTATCCAAACTAGCCCAACCCGACCGGATTGAACCCGGTAACCAACTCCGAGTCTAAAACCGGCCGAGTTGTATTTTGTTGCCTCGACCCGACCCTTGACGTTCTCTTCTCCACCATTTTTGTCATTTTCAAGGTCTGCGAAATGGTTTTTGAAGAAACTGTAAATATTATGAAGGCAAAAAATCGTTCGAGCTAGACGAAGACGAAGACGACGAAGAAGAAGATGTCAACGGAAATACATTCTTCTTTAATTTCAGAATCACCAGACGAAAACAGTCTGTAAGTGCAAAAAAATCCTCCAATTTATTATACTGATTGTAATTTGTACTTGGAATTTCAAATATATCATATTTTGTTAATTATCTGCTAAGTAAATGCTTTGTAATTTAGTAATTCATCATTTTCTAGCTCAACAACCTAAAAAATCACTAAAATACTTGTACTATTTCATTTTTGGGGATCATATTCGTTTTTTTAGAAAAATGAAATTAGGGATTTGAACTGGTTGAAAGGGGGACTGTAATTTGGTTGAGGAAACCTTGATTTTGGGAGTGAAGGGCGTCGTTAAGATAGTTTTCCAAGGGGTGACTCGTTGTGTGTCAATTGGCACTCAACAACAATTACTACATATCCAATGTATTTTCATGAATGGGTCTGGAGAGGGTAGAGTATATGCAAATTTTATCGCCACCTTGTAGAGAAAGAGAGGTTTGTTTTCGAAAGACCCTTGGCTCGAGTGATACATGACAAGGCAGTTTTAAAAAGACACTACAAAGGTAGACAAGGCTTGACAAATAATAGAGAAAATGTAATACACCATACATAGTAGACTAATGTGATAAATGAAGACAAGAAACAACACAGTAATTGAAGAATAAGAAACTACGAGACCTTCAATAGAATAGTCTCGTACCTTTTCTAAGCGACATTTCCTCGCAAAAAATTAGGTAGGTTCTGGCATATTAAAGAACTTTTTTTTTTTATAAAACTCACTGGCCCATAAATCACATTCTTCTGAAATGGTAGGAAACTCATATATAATTCGATTCAACATAGACATTAGACAAGTAGTTTTAAGTGCAATGACTACTTACTGACTGCACCTATACGGAGTAAACTCATATATACCTTCTTCTTTTTTTGTAAGAATCAGAAGAAGAGAAACACTACTACTTATATATAGAAAAAGCAATTTCTAAGACAAAACAACTTTCAATTGCAAGCATCACAATTATATAACTTCATCCCACAAGTTCCCTGCTTGTCAGATCCACATTTTACCAAGCAGTACAATTCCACTGGCATGTAACACAGTTTTTTTCTTTTGATAAGGTAAAGGTTTATTAACTAAGTACCAAGAAGGTACCAAAACCAAAAGTTACAAATCCACTGGCATGTAACACAGTTTACAACACCAGAACTATTTGCATTGCCCAAATCCTCAAAATGACGCAATTCTGTTCCAAAGTTTTGATCTTTTTACTTCCAAGTTAATTTGAGAGATAATGGATAAAAACACGTGAACTATCACTTTTTTCGCGAGTTTCACACTTCAACAATCGGTTGTTCCCTTTTCTTTTCCTACCTGAACTATCACCATCTATGTATTTTAAGAGAAATAGTAATGATTTTTTTATGTTGAATGGACATCTTCCACCTAATAATCTAGTCTTTTGGATTGCGCTCTCCTGTCAGTCTACAACAATTGATATTAGGACAGGTCAATTAATGCTTGAGACTGAGACTCGAAGGGATGGCCTAATAGACCACTGAGAGTGGGTATCGATCTAGAAGGGTGCCAGATGTGACCAACTAGTAGAGTGCCAGCAGTGGTAGCCTAGATCCAAGTGGGGTGCCGGTTGTGATCAACTGAGCGCAATAAGGAAAAAAGGAATGAGATGCCAGTCGTGACCAACTTGGCCAGAGGGGTTCTAAGAGTGCCAGCCTGGATTAAAAAGAAGTGGTGCCAGCCATGATCAACAAAGTCGTTGGTCCTCAAGCAAGGAGAATTGTCGTGTGTCAATTGTTCCTCATTGATTAAACAGAGACATAGTAATGAATTTATAGGCTCAATGAACTCTCCCATCTAATAGGTAGTCTTTTGGGTTGAGTTCTCTGATTCAGACTGTAACATTATCCATAAGGTTCCTAGTGGTTGAAGAGATGGAGTAATAACCTTGGGAGTTGGGATCAAGGCTGGAATCCTTGCAGATGCGACACTAGGTGTACTCCTCCGGCTAATTATACCTTGATGGGTAGAGTTACCCAATACTTGTGTTGATTGAAGATAACATCTACCTAGTATTCATTAAGAAAAAAGATAACCTCTGCCTAGTAAACTAATCAAGGTGTGCTCATGTTGATTCGGAAGCAATTTGCAAAGGCGGTATTGTAATTAGTGTTCAACTAACAACAACAACAATATACCTAGTGTAATTCCATTATTTGGGTCTGGGAAGGGTGGTGTGTATGCAACCTTACCCCTACCTTATGAAGGTAGAGAGGGTATTTCCAATAGAGTATTTCGTGGTCAACTGACAGAAAATATTACTCCTTCCATTTCAATTTATATGGCGGTGTTTAATAGGAATGAAGTTTAAGAAAAAACTAAAGACTTTCGAATCTTATGGTTTAAAACCAAACACATTTGTGTGACTAGAAATCATCTCAACAACAACATATCGTCATACCCAGTGTAGTCCCAGCAAGTGGGATGACTATAAATCATCTCATTTAGGGTAAAGTGTGAAATTTAAAGTTAAATTGGTTATACATACAGAAAGTTGTCATTCGTTCAGGGACAAACTTAAAAAGAAAGTATATCACATAAATGAGAAGTATGCCACATTTAATGAGACAGAGAGAATTGGTGATTTCTATTTTCTTCCCATGTTAAATCCTCCAATACTAATTTGTTGGGATGTTGCCAACTAGGTATGTGCAACATTGGCTTGGAATGGAATGGTCTAAATAGAATAACATGGATACAGAGGACTCATATAGTCCATCCCAACCAATTTGGGATTGAGGTATAGTTGATTTGAGTTTCTTATATGAGCTCCTTCCAAATATTAATGATTTTCTTGTAATTCTCTGAGTGACTATACTCTAATGATTTTTGAAGTCTGAACCTAGACACTAAGCGGCTGTAATTTTTGAGAGTATCCCTAAGGAATTGAGTAAATTAAAGGAATGGAGGGAGTGAACTAGGATGGTATACAGTTGTGTGTAAGCAAAGTAGAGATGTCTCTTGGGAATCATATGACTATTCAAGTTAAATGATGAGACTAACCAATAGGTTATCCCTGTTTTGACTTAATACTTCAACTTCTCTTTCTAATTACTAATTATGCTGCTTGTTCAACTGTAGGTTCGTGGACGTACTGCATGAAGCACCTCTATCCGGTCATAGGAAGCCTACGAGCCTCATTGGGAGTATTTTCTACTGTTTCTTATTGGCAAGTATCAGTTCATGAATTGTTGGTGGCTGTGACAAAGATGCAAATTTAGCCACCTTCTAGGTGAACTAATTATGACAAATTGTAGGCAGGCTTTGCTGTTTTGGCGGTGGGAGCTACATGGATATTTCACCCGATAAAAGGATTAGTGTTCCCACTTCTTTGCAGCTGTAATGTTGCCCTTCTTGTTGTCACAGGTGCACATTCTCTGTCTTCTTTCGTATGCTTTCAGCAAATCATAAGATTTAAATCTCCTGCATTTCATTGTATTTTTCCAGCATATGACTTCCCTCTATAGCACTAATTTTTCCAGCATGTGACTTCCCTCTGTAGGCATTTTTCAGCAATATTTGGTCTATCAAGTCAAGAAAATACGGTTACAGGTCAGTATTTTTACTATTTTTCATGATTATAATATGTATGGAGCCCAACTAGCTTGAGATCAAGGTTTTGTTGTTGAAATGGCCATTAATGATAAATATTATTCTTTCAATATGTAGCTTGAGATGAAAGTTATTGGGGAAGAGAGTTAAAAACAACACTGGAAGGGCAATTTCAAGCTTTCTTAGCTATAAATGAATATATGACCTCATTGACATAACTTTCATCCATACCTCACCCTTCTCCTCTCCCTTCTCTTGTGACATGTGCTCAGAAGAAAACATGGAGTTAAAAATCTCTCCTTATCTATACTTAGTTATCAAAAAAAAAAAGATTCTCTCCTTGTAAATAATCTTGGTAGAAATCATCTACTTGTGGGGTCTTTGGCATATTAATGATGTTATGGTGCCGAAAAAATCATATTATTCAAGTGTCATTCCTTAGTATGCACTCTGTTGGGTGTCCAAAATGGGTGGTACCAGTAAGCTGGAGAAACAGATCAGTATGGTCAAAGAACCTGATTTACAAACTGTATGGAACTAAAGGTTTCCCAAATGAGGTAGAGCATAATCTCACTGGAGGCAAATTGTAGGAGGGCCTAAGACCTTGAAAATGGATCTAGGAAATCATGAATTGTACTTTTTAAGCAGAGGGAAGAATTGAGTCGCATATGGATTTCAAGCTTTTGCTATTTGTTTTCTTTCTCCTTTCTATTCTGTGGGTACAAAGTAACGAAATTCAGTTAAGCGAGTTGGCAACTTCTCTGCTCTACAATTTAGATACATATTCTCAGGGTTCCTGATATCTTTCTTTTTTGTTGAATGAAAGACTTCTGGCAACTTTACTTGGATGGGAAATAGAATTTACTGATATATATCAGCTATCAATATAGATCATCTTCATTTTAGCGTCTTCATTCAAAATCATATGTTCTATAAACAACAATTTCTAATATTTGCAATAATATGAACTTTAATTTTGTAGGGGTACTATATTTTCAGCCAGAAACTGAAGCATATTATTCGCCTACCATTTGCTACAATCGCATATGGTATGCATTACCTGATTCTCTAGTTTATGCGGCAGTCTTTTCTTTTACTATCCTTTTTCTCAATTAGTTTTGATCATCTCTACCACAAATCTGTGGTCAAATCAAATCTTGCTGTTAGTTTTCAACTATTTTCCTTATGACGGTGGTGTCTGGGCCAGCTTGTGTGCAACTCAACTATTCCACCGGGACTTGCTACCTCCCACCAACACAATTGTTGGTTTAACTTTGCCACAAGACTTAGGTGATTGGGAAGAAATCACCTATCATGCCAACTAATCTGCTATAAATGAATTGCATCTCTGCTATTTTCTTACAGAAATTACAATTATTTTCTTTGTATGATCTGTTAATTTGCACATGAGGATCTGATCTTGGACCTTCTCAATCCTCCACTATAGCTCCCATAAGGGAAAAGAGAAGCTGATAAATCTGAGTGTGAAGTAATTAATGAACACGGTGCTTAAAAGATACTAATATTCAAGAGATCAAAATGTGTGCATGAAACAAGCTAAGACCATTATTTTTTTCCTTTTTAAAGAAAGCTGTACTGTTGTAATTTCTTCTCAGATTTGTCTGTCATTTGAATAATACTTCAGGAACAACTAACTGGTTTAATTCTAAGTTGCTTCCGTAATTGTTTTAAAAAGTAAGAATTATTTTCCTTTTGTTTCTTTTAAAATGAATATCCATTTGAAACACTTCAATTACAGGAACCGCTGCGATGCTGCTTGTCATGGTTTGGGACCCACATATTGGCATCCTCTCTATGTTGACACTATTCAGGTTTACATTCCAAGAAATTGGCTGCATCGATTTTCTTAGTTCTGTGCAGCTCCTTGCATAAAGAGATGTTTATTTAGCAACTTTCAGTATTGAAATGGTCCCGGGGGACTTTTTCCTTCTTAATTTGAGGATAATTTCTGATGTATTATGCATTAGTAAATTATATCTTTATCTAGGTGTTCTATGACACAGCTATCTTTTAGCAAAACATAAATGTTAAATCTAAGTTATGCTAGACACTTTTAGGCGAGGTAGCATTCAAGTCAGAGAGGTGGTTTTGAGGATAAAATTTATAAAAAGCTCTTCAAAATCTTTAGGATTTCAAGTTTGGATAGGTGAAGAAACTTAAAATATGGAAGTATGATGGGGAATAATAACTTTAGTTACTATCCATAGATAAGTTGTAGACGAGGAAAATGAGACTCAAGGAGTCATATATGGGACTTTCTTGGAGCTTTAAGTATTGGCCGCCAGGTTCTAACATGAAAAAGGTAAAGGAACTGAATCTCTCTAATTCTTATTTTAATTTGCTTTGTTTTGAAATAAGAATTAAAAAAGAAACATCTTAACTATACAACCTGAAATTTTCAAGTAACGGTATTTCCCAGAAAACTCTCACAAATGTACAGTGTAATGAGGAAGACGGTAAAATATAAGTTGCTGCCGTTTTCACTTTAGTTTAGAGAGCTCCACCTCAAGGACTGAAAGCAGATGAATGTGATTTTTTTAGTAATAGAGACACATTTTCCAGACTTGCACAGATGAAGAGTGTAATGAGGCAGAAGGTAAATTCTAAACAGCTGCCGTTCTCGCTTTGGTTTAGAGATATCCACTTCAAGGACTGAAAACAGTTGAGGTGGATTTGATATATCATATATCAATATGTTCTGTTGAATCCACGAAAAATTAGGACCAAAAATGTCAGATTTGTGGGGTGGATGTAGCACATGAACTTGATCTTAGTTCCCCAAATATAAGTTCATCTAAATCCTTAAAGTTGTCATTCATGGGTGGAAGAAGAAAGAGCTTGAAGGTTTCACTGGTTCAGGCTCAATGTAAAGGCTGCCTAGGCTTTACAATTATCAAAATAGTAGGACCTCAAGGATGTGTATATATATCTGATCGCATTTCTGTTCCTTTGGTTACATGCAAAGTTGGAGGTTGCGTGGGCTATAACTGTGGTATTGAAGTTTATATATTTATTCTTTGTGATGTTTTCTGAACTTGCTTCATTTTTGTAGGATCGTCATGCTGACGGAAGTAGTATGTGTTAGTTCTTTCATGACAGTCTATATTGGTGAGTAACCTCCTTTAGGGGTTGCTTTTAACAAAAGTCAATTTCCTTGGTAAAATTTCATCATTTTTAAACCCCTTAACCGTCTAGAGAAGACTCCTACTGAATTGCATGCTTGAGAGATGATGTTAAAACATAAAGCAGCTTCATGTTTGAGAATTTGAAAATAGTTTTTCTGTCTTTTAAATGACCTATTAGAAATTCCAACCTGTTCTATATTATTAGAAAGTGCAGATGCAAAATAAAGTCAATTAAACCTTCTACTCTCTTCAGGTTGCGTTCACCAGTACAATTCATTGGATTCCCAGCCCGATGTTTTAAAGTCACTTTATTCTCCACTTCAACCATCAAGTTCTCTGGAAGGTTTGAGGTACCTCTCAGGTTTACAGTCTGATTATGGAGAAACATTTTGTCCAATAATTGGGTGACTATTACTTTACCTTTAGGGCATGCTTGAAAACACTATCTGATTACATGGCTGTTTGAAAACTAGTAATCACACAACCTAATAGCTACACAATATAGTAATTACAGGGTGATACTCAATCTCGTGTTTGGTTGCATGTAATTACATAGTTGAATATTCTTTTATTTTCAATAAAATCTAATTGTAATTTATTTTTTTCATATGAACATGTAAATGAGTTTTAATGTGTGACAAACATATATGTGTATAAGAAATATTAAAAATGAAAAAAGAAAGAATTTGAAAAGCCATCTGGTAATTAGACTTTGTAATTACTTCCAATTCTTTGCTCCTCGTGAGAACTGGAAACTGTAATTACTCCCCTCAACTACACCCAATTCCATGCTGACGAAGTAATTACTTGGCCAGTCGTTAAAAGGGTAATTACATCCAATTACGCCCTAATTCAATTACAAGGTGGCCATCCAATCAGGCCCTACATTTGTATAGGATAATGGAGGGCTCTTCCATGATTCTATTTACAACAAGGTGCTATGTGGGTGTAATTTCTGTGCTTTTTTAGTCTATTATTTTAATTAAACAATGACTTCAACACACTTCTCTTTTTGAGTCTGTAAATGTATCAAAAAATTATGCTCTACTCTACTTGACAAGGAAACAAAAACTGCAATGTGTTTGGCAAGTCAAATTACTCTCCTAGTCCCTATATAGATAACTCTGAAAAGCTTTACTAGGTTTTGTTAATCGCAGTTTGTTAGAGGTGTGTAGTTGAAAACTGGGGAAGTGGGGAATTTTCTTGAAAAATGTGATATCAAAGCTATAAGAATAGAAAGAATTATTTATTTTATGGCAAGTGTAGATCTTGATGGTGGGGATCTTTGCATTAGAGGAAGGGGTAAAATGAGTTGGAATGACCAAAACTGAGTTGGGTCAAACAAATTGGGATTGACAATATTGTCATCTTTGTTTGAATTCATGTTTAATGAGATATAGTTAGTAACTAATAAGTGTTTTTGCGACATGATATCTTATTTGATCTCTGATATGATCAACCATTTGGCAGTTGGGGAAGTGGGAGGCCTTGAGAGGAATAACTGATGCTAAAATAATAAATCCCAAGTATTTTTTTGTCTTTCCCAAACCAATCATTATATGCAACAGGGATTTGTACTTTTATCATGTCATTGCGACTATCTTTATGGCCCTCAGATAGGACTTTTGAGAAGAAATAGAAGAAAGCTTCAATGCTTCTAGATATTTTTTCACCACTGCTTCTAGATGATAAAATGATGATTTTGCTAAGAGCCTTCTGTTGTACAGGTACCAGGACGGTGGTCGACTGTCAGATCAGCAGATGGCGTTGTTGCAATATCAGCAAGAAAATATACACTTTTTGGGTGAGGAGGTAAGCAGTTATAAGAAACTCCAAGATCTCGCTGGCAATATGCTTCTCAAACTTTTTGGGGGTTGGGAAGGATGTAGAAACTGGACTTTGGGCTGCTCTATATTAGTTGGTAAATCAAGTAGTAATTAATAACACATAGAAGTATATTTATTAGTATAAGTTAAGAATGACCTGCTTTTCTTGGAAAGAAAGTACACGTCTAGACATTTATACGTCTTGTCTCTTCGGGATGTATATATCTCTTATGAACAAATGGATTTTAATCCTGATTGTTTCTTATGGAAATTTTTCTTTCTTTTCTCGAGTTAATTTATTCCTTTTTCTTCTAGATTCTTAGACTGCAAGAAACCTTAAGCAAATTCGAAAGGTCTAATGATGGGACTGCACCTCAGGTATGTGTTTCTGCTGTTCAAAACTGTGTTGCTGTTTCTGTATTATCCTGGAAAGAAACAAAATGTACTTGTTGGGCTGCATGGCAAGTTAATTGTTTTAAGCTATACAAATAAAACGGGAAAATGGAAGAACTTGAGAAACATGAACTTGTAAGATCTTAGTGACCTCTGTCTGTTAAGATGATCATCCAGCTTTTCTGTCCTATTAGTAGGGGCGTTAAAGCTTTGCCCCGATCCTATCATTTTGATCACTCATGTCAATGAGTTTTGACGAACTGAACAAGTAGTATCTCGTAGCAACTAAAAGGGGATTTTTTTTTCAAAAAGACAAAATGTCATAGATGCTGAGAACGATATCGCATACACCAGCAATCATATCCTTCATGATTCTCTCATGATTTTTTTTGTCTGATAGAAAAATTGATAACCGTATGATATGGGACTGCTGATAATGAGATTAGCCACCTTGAATAGTCATTAATCACTAGAGTTTGGGATTAAGTTTTGAAAGTGATGAAGTTAACGACTTGTCTTGGTTCTTCCAGGTAGATCTTGCTCACCTGTTGGCAACTCGAGATCAAGAGTTACGTACACTCAAAGCTGAGGTAATATGTGACATGCAGTTTTGTCCTTTTTCATTTCCAACAGACCTATGGTTCTGAACAGCGCACGTGCACTTGTATGTCTGTTTTGTGGTGGAAGAAATTTTTATATTAAGAATGAAATTTCTTTTCTCACTTCAAACTGGATGTTTAGCGCATCTTGTTTTATCCTTTTACCTCTTCTACTAAATACTTGTGGGTTTCAGATGAATCAATTACAATCTGAGCTGAGGCTTGCTCAATCTATTGTAGAGGAGAAGGATGCTGAGATTCAGCGTATTCGCAATGCAAACAATCAGGTGTGTTTTAAAAGTCAAGTAACCTTAAGCAATTGGAACTTTTTTGCTATTAATAATGAACTTGTTATAAAATTACATTGTAGTATTAGTTTTCATGTAGTCATTTATCGGCCGAATAAAAGTGGACCATTTTGAAAGGATTTAGCACATTCTTCTTTATTTCTTTGGTCTCTTTGCTTCCCCTGTTAATTAGCTTGTTGTTTCTCAACTGTCATAGCAAGTTATATCTAAATTGTTAAACGTGGTCCGCTACACAAGTCTTGTACAACAACCACCTAGTCGATCACATCTAGGTTTATTCTATCTTCATTGTATGTCTTGTATAGTATTTGGACTCTCGCTGTCTCGCTTGATCATGCCTCTTTTTTCCGAAGAAAGGTGCATGACATCTCTCTCTCTCTCTCTGAAACAGTATGTAGAAGAAAACGAGAGACTCAGAGCTATTCTGGGAGAATGGAGCAGCCGAGCAGCTAAGGTAGTACTTATTTGTGGTTCATTGCTATAATATTGTCGTTTCCTTTTCCTCTATTACACCAAATGTTTTTTGTCTTGGCTGGATAAAAGCTCGAACGTGCTTTGGAGCTGGAAAGGATGTCAAACTTGGAACTGCAGAAAAAAATAACCACACTGAAGATTCAAATGCGTGAATAGTTCAGCCTGACTAACTGCTAGATCTTTTGCTGTGTACAATAGATCCTTGTGGTTCGGCTCTTCCTTGGACCTTGTGCATAGCAGGAGCTTCCTTTTCAGATCTTTTGCAATACCATTCTTGGAAAACCTAATGGTCCCATCTGCACATGTACAGATTAAGCTCAGACGTTTGCTCATCTTTCAGACTTTCAGCTTTGTATAGTTTTTTCCACTACTATTTATCTCATATCTTTTCTTCTTATATTAGGTTTCTTTTGGATGAATCTGTTCTAACAATTTGCTTTCACTGTAAATTAGTCATTTTATTGCCATAGCCAAAGCTTACAAGGTTGTTTTCCCAAAGACCATGTGTCCAATATGGATGACATCGAAAGATCAAAAGGTGTATTCAAGATTTTAAGTTTATGGTTCTAGACACATGTAGGCAAAGTTTTCATCATTTGGCATAATTGGCAGCATTTGACAAGTAAGCACTCCAACTTGATCTTAATTGATAACTAAACGCTCCAACTCATTCCCATTGTGTTGTGAGGGGTGTCTAGATGATCATCTTAAGTTGACGTGTTAAATTGACACAATGGAGACTAATTGGGGTATTTAGATATGTAATACTCCACCCTATTTATGAGTTTCCCACTCCGTCCCACCCGCCAATTGCCATCTTTAATGGTGATGGAATTTAAATGATTCAAGTTTCATAAAATTTTCAATAGTAATTAACAAGTATAATATATATCCTTTTTGAGCAAAAAATAATAATTGAAGAAGAAAGCTTTTACTCTCCAAAGTCCATAAAGTTCTTCAGACAAAAACACACATTTCCCTTTCATCTCGCACAGTAAAAGGAAAAGAAATTATACTGATTTGAAACCATACTAGCTCTAAGCTTGCTCTGTACTGAGATTCTGGGTTTTAGTTGCAAGTATATAAGAAGTAGCTATATATCGACATCGCGTTTTACCTGCATATTCCGAATTTGTTCCTGAAAAAAAAGAGTACAACACAATTTAAAGAAAGCACACTCATGGATATCAGTAATCTCTATTCTGCTTGAGACCATGGTTCCTGGTTTTCAGAACACTTCAGTTTCTTTTGATGTTTTTGTGTGTTGAGAATACAACAGGTACCAAGGCCAAAATGTTATACTGTCAACAGAACATTATGCTACTTCCTAATTTCTCATTGGTTGTGATGATTGAGCTGTTGCTATCATTTGAGCCATGATGCTAGCATACTGTACAGCTGTGTGCTGTGAAGTGTATTGATCAGAGAGACCATACTCTGAAAAATTTGGTTCAACGTGCACAAAATGACCTGGTAATGATCGTTTTCCAAGAGCTTCCTGCCATATGTCGAAGAATTCACCCATAATTTGGTGCGATGTCTCCCATGAGGATATTGGAAGATACTCCATCTACAAAAGAAACAAACATTGAGGCCAGCATGCTCACAACAGAAACTGCTTAAAATTTGTGGAGAAACACACTGGGAAGTTATGAACTAGGCAACATCAGTCCATCTAACAGTACATAATGATGAGATAATCATCGTCTCTATCAGCATTTCAAGAACATCAGTATAATTTGACTATTTTTAGACTAGCCATCGATCTATAGCAACTCTCCTTATTCAAAGTTGGGGTCAGCCGGACAACAAGATAGTTCCCACACAGTGTCACATGTGATACCTAAAGCACGCTGCTCCTAGAGACACCAACAACTATTGACTTGATTCTTATCCATTTCATTGTACCTTCATTTTTTCCATCACTGCTTCTATTAATGTGAAAATATGTTTACGTCACATCTTTTAGCATTAAAAAAAGGACACAAGTAGTAATTATTTTTCTAGGTAAAGCTCTATAAATGAATTCCTCTCCAGGCAGAATCAAAAGCATGATCACAGAAATCCTACATAGTTATGTTCCAAAAAAAAAGGCTCAACCACATAGCAAGCATTCAATTGAGAAGAAATATCTAGAGGTCTTCATACCTCCATAACTATTCCCCTCAAGTTCTCAGAGTGTATTGTAACAACTTTTCCCACTCGCAGCTGAAAGTCACCAAGTTGATACTGAAACCCCTGTATAAGTCAAATACACTAGTGAGTATTTTGAAGTAGTGCTAAGTAAGTCCTTTTTTAGAATTCTGAAGGATAAACCAAAGCAAGACAAACAATGACAAGTCTGCAAAAAATATCTTCTAATAATCGCCATAGATAGCAAGCAACATTCACAACATATAATACTTTTGGTATTGCAAGGAACAAACTTGACCAGTTCAAATGAATGAGTCCTGTTTGAAAACGTATAGTTGGCCAATGACCAACCAATTGGATGACACAACTCTATAAGAATTGAAACTTTATTTACATGTAGCCTGTTAAACAATTATCATCTTGAAGTTCTTCTATCTTCACTCTTTTTATAAAGTAAAATGATTATATAAAAGTGTGGAAGTTCTTCTATGGAAAGGAAATAGCACTAATCACAAGATTTACCTGGTGAAATGAACTTAAGTTACATTTCCAAAAGCACTTAGAGAACTGGGGGTCAAAGACTTACCCTTAAATAACAAAAGCATGTTGATGAAATGTAATTGAAGGTTTAAATAAGACGATACTGCCTTATGGAAAGACATTAGTATTGCAAAAGATGGTAGATTCAGTCACTGGTGCTCTAAAGCTATTAGCATTTAGCACACCTCATGGCACATGATTATGGAAGAGCATTCACAATCTTCGGGGAGCTCTTCTCCAATGATGCCATTTTCAGATTGGTGATGGGGCAAACACAAAGTTTTGGACTGAAAAATGAGCAGGGGTTACAACACTTAAGGATGCTTTTCCAAATCTCTTTCTCATAGCAAGGAATCCAGACTCTTAGGTTGCACGAAGCAGAGAAGGCAATACATGGAGCCCTATTCTTAGAAAGAAACTGAAGGGTTACTTAGAAATGTGAAACTACTGGAAAGATGCACTACCAGCTCTCAACAGGACAAAATGAAATGGGGAAGCTCTAAGAGTGGAATGTACTCTGTCAAGGCTGGTTATGCTGATATGTGCTCAAACAACATGCTGATTAATTTGTGGACCTGGAAACTAGTTTGGAAAACAAAACTTCCTTCCAAAGTGTGCTGATTCAGTTGGTTGATCTTAAAGGATGCCTGCCTCATGCAAGACAACCTATCTAAAAGGGGTCTGCAGTTGAACAACAAGTGCTTCATATGTCAGTCAACCTCAGAATCCATAAACCACCTTTTTCTCCACTGTCCAGTAGCTTCAGATATCTGGCACACGTTCTTTAATATTTTTGGATTATACTGTGCTATGCCCTTCTGTCAGAGATGCCTATGTGAGCTGGAGCTCAAAGAAAGTTGACAGTACCATCAGGAAAATCTGGAATATGGTACCTGCTAGCATTTTTTGGTGTATTTGGAACGAAAGGAACAACAAATGTTTTGATTGGGTTTCAACTTCAATAGACTTCTTCATTTGGATTTCCTTAGCTCTTTTGTTTTGTTGCACTTTTTTCCTTGTTTTTTGTCAGCTCTATAGTTTTTGTAGCACTCATTTGTAAATGAGATGTCAAACTCACATCTTTTGTAGTCCTCTGCCTCTTCTTGATGCCCTTCATGTTATATATCACTTACTTCATCAAAAAAAAAAAGGGTTCTTCAATCTTCACGAAGCATTGAAGCACAATACATGCAGATGATATCACTCATAACAAAGCCAAGGTTGTAGATAAAGCTAGATAAGTTAATCATCTTCCCACAGTAAGAACAATAATTTGCAGATCTCAGTAATACCAACCTCAAAATTAAGTGCAACCCTCGTTTTGTATGACTGCAACTTCTCCATTATCGTCTGAATTGATGACTCTGCTTCAATGATCAACCGTTGCCCTCTAATTACCATGTAATACTTGTTGGGCTGTTCTTGAAGTGAAATCCCCAGAAAATCTCGGGGAAACTCCAGTGAATTTGCTTGTTCGACTAATAAAAAAAAATCACTCCACTATCAAATCTCCTATTAAGGTGCAAAAGTACCCACAAAAAATGACATGTAAGGTTGCTTTCTGGAAAGAGGGCAATGCATAATGTGTAAGTTAGATGTACGTCATCAGTTTGAAGCTTGCCGCAGACAAAAGCCAAGTATTAAAGTGGCTAAGTAGACAAGCGGGCCAATCAATAGATTTCTTGATTATAAGAAAATGACATGCGAGATTTTGAAACAGGTACACTAGTGCACAAGATATGCATTATCAAGTAAGCCTAACTAGATTGTAAATGAATATCTTAAACTCATACTAACATATATATATATCAATGTATGTGTTCATCGGTTATATAGCCTAGAAGGCCAGGGATTTTCTCCCAAAAGCCAAAGGACAAGACACCTTTTTCGGCCTCACTAGAGGCTGCTCAACTCAAAGGGAGTCCTAACTTTTCTTTTAAAATGTTCACTCGGTAAATCTTTACATCGTTGCCCAAATCTTCATTTTTAGTAATATAATTACCCTGTAAATGTTCAGATGCCCCCCACCCCCACCCAATTTCCTCTATGAGTTACCACTCTCCCGAAAGGCTGCCACACAGAAGAGGCCCAATCAATCAATTAACTATACAAACTTGGGGTCGACTATATGAATCCTCCTCGACCATTTTACTCTATTCTTGACAAATCATTCCAATACTACTTCGCTTATAAATAACTTACCTTATAGAAGATGAAACCTTCCCAAAAATCCAATATTTTTAAGGAATCCAAATTAAAAAAGCTCACCCCTTTATAGTAAATCACAGGTATAACAAAAAAAAAATGCAAAGCTACTAAACTACATGGTTTATTAAGCAATGAAATACCTCTAAGCATGGGTTTATAGAAACTAAGAGTATCTTTCCACCTTCCTTCTTTAACACCATTAATGCTCTCAACACATTGAGATACTTCTGTCAGTATTTGAGTGTTGACTGTTGTCCCTGCATTTGGATGCCAGTGCAAAACCCTAGCAACACACAAATTGTACACTTAAATTACTTAATCTAACACACCAAAATCAACAAATAATGTTAGTTTTTAGTGAAATTCAAAATCCTTACCATTTGATTGGCATACTGTTGAGTGCAGAAACAGTTCCCTTTTTCCTCTCACCGGGAAATTCGCCGGAGAAAATTAAACCCCTAACTCCCTTTCCTCTCACCGGAAAGTTCGCCGGAGAACCTATATCTGAAAATCCCTTAAGCTCTCCTCGGCGGAAAGAACTAAGGTGATTCTTGAAAATATATATGAAAAAAGTAAAAAGGAAAAAAAATAACATTATTAAAGATACTAATTTTCATAGTTGAATTAGATTACATTAATTTAATATCTTAAACAAAAAATTTAGTTATTAAAAAACTATATAAAAAGTATTATAAATTCCAATTTTTTGTATATCAATATGATTAAAAAATACATAGTAAAATATTAGTTAAAGTTATTAATGCTTGACTCTAAAAAAAAAATTATGACAATTAAAAATGAACGGAGGTAGTAACTTCGAGAATTTTTGCTTCGTTCGACGTAAGTATTTTATTGCATATCGAAAGGGTTTTGAAATTGAACTTTTGTCTAGCTCAACAAAAGTTCAATAAAAACTACTATAAGTTATGTTTTTAACATGACATAATTTGTAGGTTCTGAACTGAATTTTTGCCTTAAGTGACATAAACCCATGTTGAGGGAGAAAAAAGGGAGTTAGCCAAAGATGTGCACAGACTTGCACGCCTGGGAGTCAGACTTATGGATTCCACAGAAGGAGGAATAGTGGTGACGAATGGGGCAGAATCATCACTAGTGTCAAAAGTGAAGGAAAAGCAAGATCAAGACCCCATTTTGCTCGACTTGAAGGCAAATGTTCAAATGCATAGAGTATTAGCTTTTGAACAAGGGGGAGATAGTGTGTTGAAATACCAAGGTAGATTGTGTGTACCAATGGTGGATGAACTCCAAGAGAGAATCATGAAGGAAGCTCATAGCTCCAGATATTCCATCCATCCGAGTTCCACCAAGATGTATCGTGACTTGAGAGAGGTTTATTGATGGAATGACATGAATATCATGATATGAAAATACAAATTTATGTCGAACAAAAAATATTTGTTACTTTGGTGTCCAAGGTATTTCGATCACTTAATTTTTACTTAAAAATGTTAAAAAGTCAAAAATTAAATACCACAAAATTTGAGGGCAAACATTAAAAACCAACGATTTTGCACTAATTGCCTATATTTTGGAGTGCTCTTTTTAACTTTTACCCTCAATATGATATCTCATCTCTGTTATTGTTAGTAGCATATTAGTCCAACAATCTAACATTTAAACTCATAAAAATTACAATATGAGTAGTAATGGAGTCAAAATTTTCGCTTCGAAGAGTTACTATAAACATAATAAACAACAGATGACGGATAACAAAAGCAAGAATAATTGAATAAAAGTACAATAGCAATATTTGAATGAGAAAATTAACACACTATATATCTGGGCTAATTCATTGATAGACTTCTTAGATCTAGCAAGAAGAATAAGAAATATGTGTCATGAGCCTAAAAATCCTGGTTCCGGCTCTGCCTCCTTCCTTTGGTACTCTTCCGCAACTGTGGTCAGCCAACTCTCCCTAGCTCATTTCTTCAACATTTTTTAGGAGGTCGATAATTTGTTGGGAAATGTCAATATCATCAATAACATGCCCTACAAATGAAACACAAGATAAACCAAATGTATTATTGTCAAATGAAGATAAATTCTATTTCAGTCTATTTGCATGTCCCTATAAATCAAACACGAGATATATATAGAAACAAACAAGTAAGGTTTGCATATACTCTAGCCTCCCCAGACCCCACTTACGCGATTACACTGGGTTTATAGAAACAAACAGGTATTCTAGCCTCCCCAGACCCCACTTACGCGATAACACTGGGTTTGTTGTTGTAATTACGATGTCTTCAACATTACTGTACATTCAGTGTGTTCTCAAGATAGAACCTGATGATAGCATCCTATGTTACAGCAAACAGACTAAGTACAGGTAGAACTCGAGATAATCAAACTTTCAGCACGAGCATCATTTAACAAAACATCCCCGTCAAAGACGACCCATTATGATTTACAATCTTGGCTGTACAACCCACAGTGATTGATCATATCTTCCATTTTATGAGCTATCTACTTCTTTCCTACTTGCTCATTAGAAACTCCTTGGTGAAATGTGGTATTGTGTCGACTACTCTTGAGCACTCCACCAATTAAGTTCAAAATTATGCACCTGATGCTATTATACAGTTCTAACAAAACAGTGCTCTGCTACTATTTTTAACTAGTTTAGGACCATAACCTAGTGGACCGCGTAAAGTTATAAAAACTCGGCTCCTAAGGTCTAAAAAGTGGCAGCAAGTCCCCTTCCACTTTCCAGAATGGTCTTACTGATGATATGCACAGGTTCGGTAATAATGAAGTAATTTCAGTGAAAAACGAGACAATCAACCAAGTCGAAACAAACAACTAGAGGGGATCAGTACTGTAGAAAGGAGACATTCAAGAGAGTAGTCTTCGCCCTTGCCAACTCTTAATAGGACATTCAACAGTATGTTAAAACCCCGAACATATTTGTGTTCCGTTCTCCTCCATTCGACTGCCCATCCCCCATCTCCCAAAAGAAGTACAAAGCAAAAACTGATACATAAAAGTGTGGCTTCCGAGGAAAGAACATGAAAATAGCAACTTCGTTGAGGAATAATGAAGTCCCTTGAGGTGTCTAAAACTCTATAAATGAAAATCTCAAGGTGATTTATGTTTTCCTAGGCAGATGCATGGTTTACGTGCAAAGTAAGATGAGACAGCTCTATTGTGCAATCCTCATATCATAGTATTCAGATAAATGAAAGACCACCGAATGATTAAAGGAAGATTGAGTGACACCCAAGTTCAACAGGATTAGAAGGCATAAGCAGGGACGATACCAAGAATGGACTGTGCTTATTGGGAAAAGATGGCCTCCACTCTATCCAGTGACGCTTGTAGTCGTCCAGAATTCATATTGAACAACGGTTCACCAGTGCCTAAAGCCCTGAAAAAGGAACCCAAATTTCATGTTAGGTAAAAGCGCCACCAAGTTTCAGTCAGTTTTATTTCTTACAAGATATCGTTACAGGTATAAGAAGCCGGTGATTTTCTTTTAAGTGAAGCACAAATGAGGATAAAGTAACTTGCCCAGTAACTTCTGGAAATACATAATCTGCTTTCCATCCAAAACGGAAATCCACACCAGGACATAATCCAAGAGATGTTTTATTCCGGATGCTGGAGATACCATCTCCGCCGAAACAAGTCGTGAGCTTCCATTTCCAACCAGTTGCCTGCGACTGAAAGCTATGGCCTACACCAACCTGTATAAGTTCAAACGGTTACCCTATAACTTTTACGCTGATAAGAAACGGAAATAGTACAGTGTAGGGAAGAAGCTGAAAAAGTTCAACCTGAAGATTTAGAAATTTTGTCACCGGGATCTTCTTGGAAAGAAGGCGGACTTCATGATGCAAAGGCTCATATATGAACTTCCATCTCCGCTCAGGGGCTAAAGGTTTTAAGACCAGCTTAGCCAGATATTCATTGTATGGGGCATTGTAAAACTAGTCAAAAGGCATCATAAAAGAAGAGTTAAAACTTAAAACCAGAAATACCCAACATAGACACAAAGTTGAAATGCTTGCTCTCAATATCCTTTCAGGTGATTTCAGAAACAACTACAGCATTACTGCAGTAAATTTGCATATTGTGTCTACAATTCAGATTTCAGTATTGTGCATTAACTTTTATACTAACGAATTGACTGGAATAAAGCAGATCGCATATCAGCCAACAACCATCTCACAACAGATTATGTGTAAAGTATCCAATCATTAACATTAGCGAACTCTATATATTTGAGTTTACTCATATTGCCAGTCTCAAACTTGCATGAAGAGTTGCGATAGGTTCATAGTCAACACAAAACAAGTCAATTTTTGATAATTCCTCACAATATAAAACATGTTGGACATGCTCAAGCACTGAGATAAGCTTAAATCGAGTGACATGGCAAGTGAGGATTCATATAGCCGATGGCAACAATTCAACACTTACTCTGTTTGCAAAAGCTTAAATTGAGTAATACAAGTGAGGATTCATATAGCCAATCGCAACTTTGGAGATAGTTAATTGTTGAATAACTATGACATGAACACTTACTCTGTTTGCAAAAGTAAATTGCTCCATCTCCATCCAAGGAAAAGGGGATTTCTCACTTGTATTAACTCATACTAACAAGTGCAATTACCCGAGTTAAGCTCAAAGTAACCCAAAACGTCTTGAAACTTTTTAATACAATCGTCCCACTAAACTAATTAACAAAGGAAGCATCAAGGAAGAACCATATTCATATAATCAACCCTAATTGGTTTGGGACTGAGACGTAGTTTATTCATATATCACTAACAATATAGATGGTCCGTGCATACACTCTACCCTCCCTAGACTCCACCTGTGGGATTACGTTGGGTTTGTTGCTGATAACTTAACATAGATGGTTAGTGAGAAATTAGTACCTCCAAGTTAACACCAACTCGATAGCCCTCAATTTCTTTTCTGAACTTGAGAAAAATCTCTGAAGGCATCAGATTGACATTGTAAAGCTCATCCCATGATTTGGGTTCTTCTCCACTTTGACTCAGACTACCCTCCTCCATTCTCGGACCCGAGAATCAATTCAAACTGCAAATGGATCAACAACCAACCACCTCAAAATCAAACTGCTACACATCAAAAGATTTCTTTATATGTTAATTCGTACTAGTTCATCAAACTTAATGCCAGAATCAAATCAAACTGCAACCAGGTCAGCAGCCAAACGCCACAAAATCAAATCGTCAGAACCAATTCAAACTGCAAATGGGAAAGGACCAAACACCTAAAAATCAAATCTTTACACATAAAAATGATTTTTCCCCCACAATATCAATTCATACTTGTTCATCAAATTTTAAGGCCAAGAATCAATCCAAAGTCCAAACTGCAAATGGGTCAAAGACCAAACACCTAAAAATCAAATCTTTACACATAAATATGATTTTTCCCCCACAATATCAATTCATACTTGTTCATCAAATTTTAAGGCCAAGAATCAATCCGAAGTCCAAACTACAAATGGGTCAAAGACCAAACACCTAAAAATCAAATCTTTACACATAAAAATGATTTTTTCCCCCACAATATCAATTCATACTTGCTCACCAAATTTTAAGGCCAAGAATCAATCCAAACTCCAAACTACAAATGGGTCAATGACCAAACACCTCAAAATCAAATTTCTACACATACAAATGATATTCTATACTCCTATTTAAACTTGTTCATCAAACTTTATATGTCAAGAATCAATTTAAACAGCAATAGCCAACTGCTAAACTACCTTAAAAAAAACAAATCTTCACACATAAAAATGATTTCTTTATGTATTAATTCATACTTTTTCATCAAATCTTGATGCTAGGAGGAAAATATGACAGATATAAGGGAGAAGGGTTACACAAAAAAGGGGTTTTGTGTATGGGGGATATAGCTCGAAAAACAGCAAGTACATACCTTGAGGATAACTGGAACGGGGAGAGAAGCAGTGTGAATTCAGTACACAAATTTGCTGGATATTCACTGTTTCAATTGAATTCTATTATTTTAATTTGATACAAATTTAAGTGAGTTAATTTGAAATTAAGAATTATAAAAAGGGTTTAGTTTTAAATATATAAAATAATAATTAATTTATAATAAATATAGTCATTTTTTATTTACACAACTAAAAACTATAAGAAATATGTACTAACTATATAATATAATTTGTCAAAAGTCATAAAAAGTATACACTATACAAATCAGCGATAAAATATAGTTTGATACCTAGGTGCGCCAAAGCTGGACGGACACAGGATCATTAACACCTTGTTTGGATGGTTGTTACCCATTGTATTGAATTGTTAGTTTAAATACAATGTTTATATTGATTGTTAGTTAAATTTTATTGTATCGTATCGTTTAAAGACATCTATGTATGAGAACATCAATGGCGTTAAAGAAGGGAAGTGGAAAGATACTCTCAGTTTCTATAAACCCATAGATGCATTTCCTTGCATAATAAACCATGTAGTATCTTGCATTTGTTTTTTGGTTATATCTATATTCTATTGTAATCAGTTATCACCGCCACTAGCAATCATTTACAATCATTGATATTAATCACCATTACCACAATAACCACCAATACACCAATTACACAGGGGCAGAGCTACCGTCATTCAAGGGTGGTCAGTTGAACACCCTTCGCCGAAAAATTACACCATATATAGAGGTCAACTTCTGGGTTTAAGGGATAAATATTTAATGTTGAACAGCTTTGATATAAACTCTTAATTATGTTGCACAATGCTTAAGCGTAATCATTTTCACCTGAGGTCTGTAGGTTCGAATCCCACGTAGTAGCACACAACTTTTTTGGTTTTATTTTGAGAATAGAACACAACCTCTCACACTATTATTATGTTCGTCAAGTTTCTTAATTATTAATATTACAATTTAAATAATATAGATTAACATATATGAATACATTATTTTAATTTTGAATATTTCGTAATTATGTATTTCTAATTTTTATCTAGGATATAATGCACTTTCGAATGGTGAAAACAAAAAACCAACATTTTACATTAAAAATTTGTGTTTATATATGTTAACAACTTTAAACCCAAAGCTAAAATCAATACATGTGTTTTATCTTCTTTCTTTTTTTAAGAAAAAAAAATTCTACTGGTGTGATTTATGTTCTGTAAAGCTAGACGTATTTGTTCTATCAATATTTCACTTTAAAAACAATAATCATATATTTTCATCATATAAAATCAATGCATCAAAAAGATATGTAATGTGGGAAAGACCAAATTTACCATTTTTTGTGTGCTATATAGTCCATGAATTTTTGGTGATACATGATCCCGACTTTTTTTGGACCTTTACGACGTTATTAAAGGAGTCAGTTGGTCCCGAAGGGCAAACAAACGCATCAAGTTCAAAAGAGCCCCAATGTATGAAAGATCAAATTTATCATTTTTCGTGTGCTGTAGTCCATTAATTTTTAGTGATATGTGGTCCCAAATTTATTTTGGCTAAAATTTTTTATAAACGTTCATTACGACCTAATTGTTTTTTCGTGTGTATTAACTCATTGATCTGACATCTCACTAAAAGACTGTATTAGTGGCAACTTAAGCCGCCACTAAAAGACTATATTTGTGGCAACTTAAGTCGCCACAAAAGAATAATATGCCGCCACTAAAAGACTGTATTGGTGGCGACTTAAAGGAAAATATTCGCCACTAAAAGACTGTATTAGTGGCAACTCAAGTCGCCACCAAAAGGAAAATATGTCGCCACGAAAAGGCTGTATTAGTGGCAACTTAAGTCGCCACTAATACTATAATATGTCGCCACTAAAAGGCTGTATTAGTGGCAACTTTAGTCACCACCAAAGGAATAATAAGTCGCCACTAAAAGACTGTATTAGCAGCAACTTAAGTAGCCACTAATACTATAATATGTTGCCACTAAAAGATTGTATTAGTGGCAACATAAGTCGCCACTAATACTATAATACGTTGCCACTAATACTATATGTCGCCACTAAAAAGCTGTATTAGTGGCAACTTAAGTCGCCACCAAAAGAAAAATACGTCGCCACTAAAAGACTGTCTTATGAGCAACTAATAATGTAATATATCGCCACTAATACTGTAATATATCGCCACTAAAAGGCTGTATTAGTGGCAACTTAAGTCGCCACTAATACTATAATATGTCGCCACTAAAAGAATAATATTTCGCCACTAAAAGATTGTATTAGTGGCAACTTTATTAGCCCATGGATTTGGCGCCTTAAAAACATTTGAAAAAGTGTGATGAGGATCTCCGTAATGAGTTTGGAAATCACCACGTATACTCATACAATTTTTTTAATGCCTATTTCCACATTTACAAGTCTCTTTTTTAGAAATTATCCAAATTTCTTTATTTTTTCATGTGTATTAGCCCCTGAATGTAGCACCTTTGACCACCAAATTTTTTTTTTGTAAAAACTTTATGAGTACCTCTATAATGAGTTAAAAAACCACCAAGTGTATTCACACCATTTTTTAAGACCTATTTTCGCATTTACAAGCTTTTTCTTAGAAATTACCCAATTTTTCTATTTTTCGTGTATATTAGCCCATGGATCTAGTGCCTCGGAGCACCCTAAATTTTTTTTAAAAATAGATTATGAAGACTTTTGTGATGAGTTGTGGAACCACCACGTATACTCACTCCATTTTTAATGTCTATTTCTGCATTTACAAGCCATTTTTTAGGAATTACCCAAATTTTTCGATTTTTCGTGTGTAATCCCCATGGATTTGGCGCATCAGAGCATCCAACAATTTTTTTTTGAAAAAAATATGAGCACCTCCGTAATGAGTTAGGGAACCACCACGTATACTCACATCATTTTTAATGTTTATTTCCGCATTTACAAGCCTATTTTTAGGAATTACCCAAATTCCTTGATTTTTCGGGTGTATTATTAGCACATGAATCTGGCGCCTCAAAGCACTAAAAAAATTTGAATTTTTTTTATGCGGACCTTTTTTATGAGTTGGGGAACCACTACGTATAGTCACACCATTTTTAAAGCTTATTTTCACATTTACAAGTCTTTTTTAGAAATTACCCAAATTCTTTAATCTTTCATGTGTATTAGCCCATTAATTTGGCACCTCGGAGCACCCAGAAAAAATTGAAAAAACTTATGAGACCTTACAATGAGTTGGGAAACCACTGCGTATACTCACACCAATTTTTTAATGCTTATTTTCGCATTTACAAGCCTTTTTTAAAAAATTATCCAATTTTTTTTATTTTTCATGTGTAAACACATGGATCTGACACCTCGGAGCACCTAAAAAAAAATTTGAAAAATTTTATGAGGACCTCCATAATGAGTTGGGGAACCACTACGCATACTCACACCATTTTTTAACACTTATTTCCGCATTTACAATCTTTTTTTAGGAATTACCCAAAATCTCAAATTTTTGTATGTATTTGTCCATGGATTTTTTGTGATACGTGATTCCGACTTGTTTTTTCCAAAATTATGTATGGACATATGTTATGACCCTATTAATAGAGTCAATTGGTCACGAGGGGCAAACAGACGCATTTTCAAGTTCAAAAGATCCCCAATGTAGGAAAGACTTAATTTACCCTTTATCGTGTGCTATACTCCATGGATTTGTGGTGATACGTGATCCCGACTTAATTTTGACCAAAAATTTATATGGACGTCCATTACGATCTTGTTAATGGATTCAGTTGGCCCTGAGGGGCAAACATACACATTTTCCAGTTCAAAAGAACCCTAATGTGGGAAAGATCGAATTTTTCATTTTTCGTGTGCTATAGTCCATAAATTTTTTGTGATCCCGACTTGTTTTTGGACGAATTTTTGTATGGATGATCGTTACGATCTTATTAATGGTGTCAGGTTTTTTCTGAAGGGCAAATGGATGCATTTTCAAGTTCAAAAGAGCCCAATGCAGAAAAGACCAAATTTACTATTTTTCGTGTACTATATAGTCCATGAATTTTTAATGATATGTGATCCCGACTTGTTTTTGGCCAAAAAAATTTTGGACGTCCGTTAAGACCTTATTAATGGAGTTAGTTGGTCCCGAGGGGAAAACAGACACATTTTCAAATTCGAAAGATCCCCAATGCGGGAAAGATAAAATGTACCATTTTCGTGTGTTATAGTCCATGAATTTTTGGTGATACGTGATTCTAACTTGTTTTTTACTAAAAAATTTTATGGACTTCCATTGTGACCTTATGAATGAAATCAGTTTGTCATAAGGGGCAAACATACGCATTTTCGAGTTCAAAAGAACCACAATGCGTGAAAGATCGAATTTACCATTTTTTTGTGCTATAGTCCATGAATTTTTGGTGATACGTGATCCTGAATTATTTTTTTTGCCAAAATTTTTAATGGACATTCGTTACGACGGATCCATGGGCTAGTACACAAGAAAAACCAAGAAAGCCGCGTCATTCCTAAAAGTTGGATTGTAAATGCAGAATATGCTTGAAAAAATGGTAGGACGGCACATAACGCTTCCCCTACTTGTTACAGAGGTCCTAATAAATATCTTTAAGAAATAAATTTTGGATGTTCAAAGCGTCAGATCGTGGGCTAATACATACGAAAAACCAAAAATATCACTTAATTTCTAAAAGTGGCTTGTGTATGCGAAAATGTCTGAAAAAATGATGGGACTGTATGTACCGCTTCCCCAACTCATTATGGAGGTCGTTATAAAGTTATTTTTGGAAAAAAAATGGGGTTCTCCAAATCGCTAGATCCATGGTTCAAAGGGGTAAACGTCGACATTTTGAAGTTCAAACGAGGTCCGAAACAAGAATAAAACTTTTTCTATTTTTCGTGTGTTATAGTCCATGAATTTTGGGTAACATGTGCGCCCAACGTTTTTTTGTTTGAACTTTTTTGCGGACGTCTGTGACGATCTATTTAATGGCATGCATTGGTTTGGAGGGCAAACATCGGCATTCTCAAGTTCAAACGAGGCATGAAACGAGAAATAGAGATTTTTCCATTCTTCGTGTGTAGTCCATGGATTTTGGGTGATATGTGAGTGCGACGACTTTTTGACTGACTTTTTTTGTGGCCATCGTGACGATCTATTTAAGGGCGTGCATTGGTTCGGATGGGTAAACGTCGACATTTTCTCTAGTTCAAACGAGGCCCGGTACGAAAAATAGGATTTTTTCCATTTTTCATGTGTTATAGTCAATGGAGTTTGGGTGGTATGCGTCTGGTGGTTTTTTTTACCGAAATCCATATTTTTCAAATATTCATGTACTAACAAACACGAAAAACTAAGAAAATCGTTTAATTCTTGTTGAGTAGCTCCTAAATGCTAAAAAGGAGGGTTGGATCATGGTGAGGCTATAGGTATTATTCTCCTACGTCATTACGGAGGGTCATGTAAAGGTTTTTTCCAAAAAAAATGTCTGAAATCCATATCACCAAAAAAATCATATACTAACACACAAATATTTTTTTTGAGAAAATTGTCTAATTCCTGTTAAGTGGACCCCTAAATACTAAAAAAAAGTGGTGCGAATCATGGTGAAGCTATAGGTAATGTTCCCCTAGGTCATTAAGAAATACGGAGGGTCCTGTAAAGTTTTTGCAAAAAAAAATGTGTCAAATCATATCACCAAAAAATCATGTACTAACACACAGGAAAAACAAAGAAAATCACCTAATTCACGAAAAAATGCTAAAAATGTGATGTAAATCCTTTAGAGGCTATGGGTATGATTCACTAGGTCATCGTTGATGGTGCGAATAAATTGGGGGCACAAAATCATTTATCTATTTATTAATATTTATGGACTAATACATATGAAAAATTAAGAAAAATTTGAGTTCTTATCTCATGTTCTTGAAATGCTAAGAAAGTGGTGTATATCCTATGAAGGCTATGAGCGTCGTTCACTAGGTCATTACGGATGCTAGCAAAATATTTGGATGCTAAAAAATCTAATTAGTCATATTTTCAAATGGGTTAATACACATAAAAACTGAGAAAAACCTAAATTACTGTTTTGTGATCCCCAAAAAAAAAAATCAACGACTAATACACATGAAAAATTAAAAAATTGAATTTCTAAATTGCATCTTCTAAACGGTAAAAAAAAAAAGTCGTGTAGATTCTATAGAGGCTATAGGCAACCTTTACTAGGTCATTACGAATGTTAGCAAACAATTTGGATGCTAAAAAATTCAATTAGTCATGTAAATATTGTTCACTATGTCATTATAGATGAACCCACAAATTTGAGGTCAAATAAAGTTGATCAGTCGAAAAATTCATAAACTAATACAAATTAAAAGAAGGTAAGGAATACAACAAAATATCATATCGATAAACTTAAAAGTGCACGAATTTTAACCAACTTACCTCCTCTTTAACTCAACATATATAAAATATTTCTTTTAGTAAGCCTTATGCATTGCGAATCTAAATTAAATGCAGAGCCAATCGTTTCGCACCAATTTACTAGAACATCATCACAACTTTACTATTTCAAATACCAAATGAATAAACAGAAAAATAAGTTAAAAGGAATTAATTGCCATGTAAACATACACAAATCATGATCAAATTTAACCTCTCTTAACAGGATCAAAGTTGGAGACACCAATAATAGCACCAATAATAGCACCAAGCACAACTCCACCAGACACAATGCTAAGTAAGAAGTTCTTGAGTGATGGTGACAAACCCTCAGCAGCTTGTGCTACATCAGGTACAACCATTGATGCTGTGAGTACACCTGTTGTCAACCCTACCACTGCCTTTTCCTTAATTGAAGTGGCCTTGATGACTACAAACTTTTTTGAAGTTGTAATTTGTTTTGAAGGTCTAATTGGCAATGGCTTGAAAAAAGCTTCAACAATTGGTTGCTTGTTTTGGGTTGTGTAAGTTAGTGGCATTGCCATTGAAACTATTGAAGAAGTAGCCATTTATTTTGCTCTCAAGAATTACAAAACAAAAGTTAAAAGGATTATGGTATTGGTAGTAATATGATGTGATTTTGAGAGGAAAAGGGACCACTTAGATTGAGAGGATAAAGAGAGGATTTTTAATGAGAGGTGGAGAATTGAAATTTGGTTGTTGGCATATTTTTGTTTTGTTCTATGTGGCTGATTTTTATTGGTTATATTGGATATGGTTATCTTATTAGAAGGTTGTCATAACTTTATATCCACGTAGGCTGAAAAAAGATCCATAGTGCATCAAATTTTTGAGGACTTCAAGTGTTCGTTTGATCATGAATATTTTTTTAAGGAAATATGAATCCCCCCACCACCACACCCCTTTCCCCTCCTTTTTAAAAAAATTGATTGTATATGAAAAAATTGTTAATTCTTAGTAGACGTAACATTAGAATTTGGCTCGTCTTGATGTACAGTGATAATTAGTGATAGTCGTGATTGGTGAAGATGATTGGCAGTAATGGTTCGTGGAGGTATAGTCAAAGTAATAGAATGGTTGTATATTTATGAGTGATGGTAAAAGTGATTGGTGACGATGATTAATAATTTTGATTATATAATGAAAGTTGGCGATAAAATTGATTGATAAGCTAGTGGTCAATTATGGTGATGGCCCTGTTAAGATTGGTAATGGTGATTGGGCAGTCTTAGTGAACGAAATTCTAAGAAAGATCACCTTTATAGTTAATTTTTTAATTATGTAAGAACATCTTCACAATTTTGCAATTATATAAAAATACAAATACTAAAAAAACAAACACTCGTTTTATGTGTCTCGTATGCATCTTTTTATATTTAAAATGAGTTTCTAATCCTACTTTTTGCTTTAGCTTTAATGGCATTCTTATATAATGACATGTTTAAGATCACAAATTTCAAAACGTTTGGTATGCTAGGAGAGATACAAGTGGGAGTGACCCTCGTGGCAATCAAGATGAGAGAGATAAGGCTGAGATGGTTCGAACATGTCTAGAGAAGATGCACATATGCTCTAATAAGGAGGTGTGAGAGATTGACAAGACATAGCACACTAGCAGCTCATCGAGGAGAGGCTCAAAATAGGAGGATATGGAGGTTGAGTATTAGAGTAAAAGGTTAGTAGATAGTTGAGCGATGTCTAATCTCCCTTGCCAGTTTTGGTATTATTACACTTCTATCTTATCGTCCGATTTTTATTATTACATGTTGATTCATTTGTTTCAATTATCAATCGTTTATTTGTTGTTGCTACTTGCTAGTGTTTCTCTTTAGCATTATATTCACCATGACTTCTCCATTACTATAATATTTTTTTATGCTTGAATTTGATATGCTTAATTGAGCTGAGAGTTGATCGGAAATAACCTCTCTACCTGCATAAAGAAGAGTTAGGTTGTGTATTTACCACCCTCCTCAAATCTCACTGGTAGGATTACACAAGGTATGATATTATTGTGTAAGAGCATCGAATTCAAAAGTATTTTACATTCTAAATTTCAGGCTAAGTTAAACAAAGATACATAAATTAAAGATCTTTTATTAAGATTTAACTTTAAGCCACAACTTTCATTAAACCACCACTGATCACACAAGAAAAAATGTTAAGAATTTCTAGATATATAGTGAAGTAAGAAGGAAAGAAAAAAATTTGCGAAAAACCACAGATTTACATAATGTATTTTGGCTTATCCAACTCCAAAGCTAGCATTCATGAGTCGCTAGTCTTCAGAGAGAGGGTCGAGAAGTACCATGCATGGTTGACCTGTCCTTTCTTTCTATCAATCTCACCACATTGTAGTTTAACTTGTTCTCTCGATAACTGACGGATCTATGTAATTTAGGGCTGGCAGGGGGACCGAGTCGGCTCGCTCCGGCCCGCGACCGATTCGAGAATCGGCTCGCCGAACCCGGTCCCGTAAGTTTTCGCGGGTTGGGAGGGGTTCGGGATAGGGGACCGGTTAGGGGCCGGTTCACCCTTTGGTCCCGGTCGAACCGGCCTGGTCCCAACCCGGCTGAACCGACCGGTTTCGTGGGGCCCCCAACGGATTTATTTACCTTTTTCACTTCCCCAACACCCCCTACCACCCCCCTACTTTTAATACTTTAATTTAAACCCTCAAGTTATCATAAATATACTTTAACTCATTTTAAATATTATAAATACCCCTCTATCCCTTATTATTTCTTACAAAATCATCTATTCTCTTATCTATTTTCTATATCCTCTCAATCTTAAGTCTCAATTTTTTATTTCATTTAAGTCTCATATTATATTATAATACATATATTTCAATTCTAAATTTTTATATTATATCATAATATATATATAATTGTCATATTTGCTATCAAGTATTGGAGTTCCAAATTACAAGTTACAACAAACTACAAGCTTCAAGAATCGGTTATAACATCTGCTATTAACGCAGACGTTTGGTACATTCGTTTCATAATATTTATATTTTATTTTTCGTCATTAATTCTTGTGTTATTATTATTTTTATATTACACTTTACATATAATTAAATATGAGTTCTAGCAAAAAAAAATACCGGTAAAGTAAAAGAGAAAGAACCAAGTGGCATTAGTAAAAAAAGTAGTAAGGAAAAAAATAAGAGTAAATGTGGTGGTACTTCTTCTAAATCAATGTCTAGAATTAGATTTAATACAAATGATTCTACTTATGTTGATGATACTTCTTATGATAATGATTCAAATGCTCAACTCGATCATGAAATTTTACAACAAATTTATGGTGATATTAATCCTTATCTTGATGAAAATTCAGGTGAAGAAGTAGAAATTGGTTCAGGAGAAGAGGAATTAGAAGATACACATACTAGTCCGGAGACAGAAGTTCCAAATGAAACTACAAATTCAATGGAGCAAAATTGTGGACGCTCACCCATTATACTTCCTACAAGGGAGAAGGTGAAGTATCAACGCCCTAAAACTTCTGTTGTGTGGCAATTTATGACTTTAGATAAGGAAAATTCTATTATATTTGTAATAAGTGTAAGCAAACTTTTAAATATAAACAAGGTGGAGGTTAAGGTAGGACGGGGGGCTTAAATAGACATTTGTTATCTTGTGTGCCGATTCAATATAAAGAAGCTAAATCATTAGCCGATAGAAAAAAGGAATTCAAGTTAATGATTTTGATATTAATGTTAATGAATCGGTAGGGGCTTCTAACATGGTTCAAGGAACATTAGATCCTTCTAACCCCGGTGGTCCACTAACACAACGTAAATATAATAAGGAAAGAGATCGCGAAAATTTAGCTAAAATGGTTTCTGTTTGTGGCTTGCCTTATAGTTTTCCTTCACATCCCGGTTTAATTGAATATATTCAACAAACTTATAATCCTACTTATAGAGGTTTTCAAGAAATACTGTTAAATCTGATGTTTTTGTATATCAAGGTAAACATTGTCAATATCTTCGTTGTATATTTAACATATTAGATTGTAGAGTGTCTATAACTTCGGACATGGATCGTAGTGTTAATGGACGTGATTATTTAACTGTTACAGCACATTGGATTGATCATAACTGGAATTTGCAAAAAAGAATCTTAAGTTATAAAGAATGTGTAGAGAAAAAAACTGGTGCATATTTAACTTCAAATATTTTGAGTGTTCTAGATTATTATATGCTTATAGATAAAGTAATATTTGTCACATTAGATAATGCATCTAATAATATAAACGTTGCTAGTATGTTAAAAACTAGATTATGTCCAATTGATGATAATTCTATTCATGTTAGATGTGTTGCACATATATTAAATTTAGTTGTACAAGATGGTATTTCATTATTTAAATGTGGTTGTATGAAAATTGAATATGATGTTGCCTGAATTTTTTATACTCAAAGAGCTGCTAGAATTAGGAAATTTAATGAGCGTTGTGTACTATGTGATTTTCCGCCAAGAAAAATTTCAAGACATATTAAAACAAGGTGGAATTCTTTTTACGAAATGTTTTCAGTTGCTTACGAATATAAAAGACCCATACAAATGGTGTTTAATGCTCATAATGTTGATCCATTAGAGAGAATTTGTGAAGAAGATTAGGAAGAAACTAATGAACTATTAGAATTTTTAAGATTTTTTTATGATGCTACAATCATGTTTTCTGGAATTTATTATCCTACTATTTCATCAGTATTAATAAATATTTGTGCTATTTCAATTCAATTTTCTAAATACAAAAAAATTGAAAAATTTAGAGTTGCAATTGAAGGTATGATTGAAAAATTTTAAAAATATTTTTTCCTATTCCTCAAATTTTTTTAACTGCTATTTTTCTTCATCCTGACTATAAATTACGAGGTGTGCAGGGACTTGTTGACTCTTTTTATGATACTTTAGAAATTTTACCGGAAAAAAATCCAACTTGTGAAATATGCAAGTCTAGCATAAAAGTAGAAGCAAAAATTTTGTATGAAAAATATATAACTACAGGAAATACTCAAGGAGAAGTTGGTCAAACTTCTAATCCTCAGAGTAAAGCTCGAATTTCAAGTTATATGTGAGGTTTTCTTGGTCTTAATTCTACTAACCGTGATGATTTTGAAGAATATCTTAATCAATCTTTAGAAACAGTGGAAGACGGAGATGGCAATGAAGAATTATTAGCATGGTGGAGGAGGCGGAGCGTTGCATTTCCAATTTTGAGCAAAATGGTTCGTGATGTTCTAGCTATTCAAGCTTCATCAGTTGCATCAGAGGCTGCTTTTAGTGCGGCAAGGTTTCAACTTGGCGATCATAGACATTCGTTGGCGGAAGAAAGTTTGGAAACATCAGTTTTATTTAGAGACTGGGTCAACACCGAGAGGAGGAATTATAATTTGCCAAAGTTAAGTTCCAAACAAGAAGATTGGATTAATGCGGTAATTGGATCTAGTGATGATGAATTAGAGTCACAAGAGTTTCTAGCAAGTTTGCCAACACCGGAGGATGTTACCGTCGATATGATGTGACAATTAGAATTGAATTTTAAAGAAGAATACAAATA